AAAAATAAAAACTTCACTCGAAAATCACGTATTTTCATGTCCCTCAAGGTCAAACTTCCAGATATGACCGACTGGCACATACTCCCCGGACTCAAGATCGATGTCCTCATCGCGTGCTGTCCCTGTCAGTGAATCCCCGGAAACCCGAGTGTCACTCAAGATACAGTGCCAGTGGTCATTTACAGAAGTTTGCAGCAGACTTAAGTTTATCTACCTTCCAAAATTCACTACCATATAAAATTTTCACACTATCGCTAAACAGCAATCAAAATCTGCACACACCTGCACCTCTGAATTCTCGCTTTTTAAGCTGGTAATTTAAAATTTCTTTTGTCCTATTCAATCAACAAATTGTCATGCAGCATTTTGATTCATATAATAGATCTAGCATATTAATAACAATATCTCATTTGTTAAAATTCTTTTTCGTGAACCCAGATTTCATCCGAGTTCACCCTTGAGCCCCCTCCCCCTCAAGACTCAAGACTCTAGAATTTACTTTTGAGCCACCGGCTCACCTCGTGTTCTTCGCCCTCGAGGTACCCGATCCAGATATGTTTGACACTGTGATCTGTCTCAATAGTGCCTCCCCATCATCGGAGCTGATCACAATCTCCTCCCAAGCCTTCAGCTGTTCATAGGATCGCATCCACTCCCTTTGCTCTTGCAATCTCTTCACTTGATTCGGTAATCTCTTCACCTTCGACTCCCGGTTCAAACAGAAGGAATTGTGCAGACTCAGACTTACATTCTTCGCTAGGTCCTCCTCCAGGATCGACTCCCTCGCTCTGGTGTTGTCTCTGGATACTCTACCCACTCTTTTCCACACCGTCGTGATCGCATTTCGATGGGTCAGCAGAGGTCTCTTGAAGGCATCTGGCCCTATCTCGGCCTGGAATTGTCGATATTCTTTTTGATGTTTCCTCATGTGATCCTTCGTCACCACATATAACCAGGATACTAACGTCGCGCGAAACCAAGGAAAGAATCTCAAGCGGCTCCACATGTGTCTGACTTCCATTGGTATGGCGAATACCTTGATTGCGGTCTCGAACAACTCAAGTCTCCGGCTGTAGTCTATCGCGTGAATCGACTCTGCCGTTGGCGTCTTCGATTCCCGATACGTTGCTATGTTTTCTTCCATCCATCGTAGAGCCAGCATTGTGCTCACCACCAAGATGGTCACTTTTTGTTGATGCTCGGGTAGTCCCAACGACCTGATTTCTTCTACATCCCAGATCAGGCAGAGATTGGCGTGGTCTGGGTACCACACTGTCTGCGCCAGACAGTGGCATGGACAATCCCCGTGTGTGAGGTCGATGCTCCTAAGATTGCGTTCTCCCGAGGCTTCTAGGAGAGGCTCAAGTTCCATCATCTTCTCGTGTATCACGTCGGCTTCTTCCAAATTTGGAGCACCTACTATGGGCTTCCCAATCATGTTTTGTCTCTCGTGGTCACTTGTATTTTCGCTCTCCAAGCCTAGAAGTTCTTCACCCCAGATTTCACTCAAGTCGTCCCTTTGCTCTTTCGGCACTGTTCCTCGGATCTTCCTCAACAGCTTGTGTGAATGATGTGACATCCGAGCCAGTCTTACACATTTGGGCACTGAGAAGGCTTTGTCTATCAATACCCTCTGGCTGGACACTTCTACCATCGCCATGTGTAATGAGTAGTGGTTGCCACATAGGTTGGCCATCACTGACCCCACCAGGGACTTCGCATTTAGAGGCAGACCATAGGCTTCGCTCATGGGAAATCCCATCTCCGCCTCGAGTCCAACCTTCCAACTCTTGTTGTGTTTCTGGGTCACTTGCAACACTCCGGGCCATGACTCAACGCGGTCACCAAGTGGTGTTCTGACTCTAGCCTCTCCAGTGACTCGAGACTGCACATTCTTGAGAAGAATCCCAGAGCTGTTGCTAGGTTCACCGTGGTACTCGCGTAACACTCAGCCACTATCTGTATCTCACTTTTCTCCCTTTCGGTGATGTCCTCAAACCAGGTGACTAGGTCTTCTTTCTGGAAAGACTATATCCTGACACATGATCGTCCATCGCAGGTGTGCTCGCCATTCCCACATGTCGAGTCAAGACAACTGCCCGGCTCCATCTTTTTTATCGTCCCTGTTCCACTCGTCATCTCGCTTGACTCCTTCACTTGAGGCAGGATCAGTCTATGTACTATACTCAAGGTCGCCAAATCTTCATCCTCTGTCGGCGCTAATCTCACTCGCTCAGTGACTTCCTCGATCAGGCTCGCATGGGGATGTGGACACCAGGAGGGCCTGAGCAATTTCCACACTACTCCCAGATTCGTGGTCAACATGCCGTTCCCGTTACCCATTTTTAGTTCCACCCTTTTACTTGAGCGTGGCACACTTATTACTTCCGGTGTTCTCTCGAGAATCAGACCCAGGCTAGGCCTCTATCTTTCCACAGGGTCTATCTCCATTATATTCTCTGTCCAGAACTTCAGCAGCTCCGCCACCTCATAGTTTCTGTGGGCACCTCCAGCTTCTAAGTCCAAGAAAGGGTTGTATGCCATCCCCATCACTCCAGACACATACTGGTACTCTCCCTTCTTGTTGGGTTTCAAGTACTCTCCTGACGAAGCCAAGTTACGGTGAACGTCGTGTTTCTCCTCAAACTTCTTGTTGTAGAACCTCCGTATCTCATCTAACTTCCTGTGGCTCTCTAGAGATTGCCTAGAACCATCCTCCTTCTCTATCCCAGTACTCTGATACACATTCAAGATGACTGTGGAGACTCTCCTCTCCAGCGTCTTGCTTCCAACTGCTCTCTGGTGACATGCTAGGATGGTACTATCAGTCATCATCGACATTGTCCATCTCAAGAAACAGGTAGCATCTTTCCTCCTTGCTAGACTCAAGCCTGAGTTGTCCCTAGCAACGTGCTGCATCAGCATTCGATATACTTCTAGATTCTTGCCTCCCAACTTCAACTTGTCGTACGAAGTCAGTGTCTCTAACTCTATCCCCAACAGGCTCCACGCGAACATCAGTTGTCCTGCGGTCCTAACAAAGGGATTCGCCATCAACGGCGATGCCGATGAAGATGTTCTCATCGCTTCTTCAAAATGATCTTTCAACAAGTTCTGCCAAGTTCTCTTTAGTTGGCTCCCCAATTCCAATTTATTGATGACAGCTTTCTGCTGGGTAGCCCAGTTGCGTCGCTTGCGTGACACTCCACTGTCGAGCTTCCTCAGGCAGTCCTCCAATTCCTGCAACGTTTCCAGGGCCACCCACCACGGTCGGGCGGTGTTCCTCGTTTTATTTTTCTCAAGAGGATCGCTAGTCACCTGCTTCCCGGTAGCCTGGTGTTCATTTGAGACCCATTCTTTGCCGACGTCCACTTCCCAGGTCTGTCCGCTCGTCGAACCTCGCTTCATTTTTATCCTCTGAGGTTTGAAGTCTTCTTCCGTTGTTGAGCTGGTGGGGATCTCCATCTCTCTTTCTACGTCGAGCAGTTTCCTCGGCTCGTAGCTACTCTTGTAGGCTGCTGTCTTACATCGTGCCAGAACCATGGGGGCTGTTTCTCTCAAGTTCCTCTCCGAAACCGCATCCGCTGAAGGACTGCCCAATCCCTCCACGTCTCTCTTCCTCTTGCGAGACCTCACGTCTTTACTCGGGGGCGTTGTCGTTATCATCACTGATTCGACTTCCTTGTCTCCATCCAACCCTTCCAACTCTTGCCTCCCCCTGCTCGAGCCTTAAGGATATTAGTACTTTTAATTATATTACTAGTTCCGACCTTATCCCCCCTTACATGTTCAATTATTTTATTGCTAGTTTTTTGTTTCAGAGTAGAGCTGTCTTTCCATTTGTCTTCTTTGGTCTTTCGTGATGCCTTCCTCAACTCGACCATCTTGCTCAGCAGCTCTCCTCTAGCTTTCTCCTCCAGACCTGTCCCCATCAGGACAGGCGCTCCAAATTTCACCACCGTGTCCCACAGCTCCTCCTTAAAATCGTCCAATGTGGTGTCGTCCTCCACTTCTCGATTAAAATCTGTTTAACTGTTTCTGGCGTGTTGCCTGTTGTGTCTTCCACGTTGTCTATCGGTGAGAACTCTATGGGTTTTAGGTTAGGTTCTTCCGCATTGGGCATTGGAGTTGACTTTGTCGTCTTCTTTCCTGCTTCATCCACACTTTGATCAGGTGTCTCTAGATCAATCTCAATGGTGGGTTCTACTCGTTCCCCTTCCGTGCCCTCTTTTGCTCTGTTCTCCGTGGTACTCCTCGTGCTGACCGTACTAACTGAAAAGTTCTTCTTTGTTACCTTCGGACCCATTGATGTTGTTTTACGTAGCGACGAGTTATACTTTGTCTTCGCTTCGGTAGATCTTTTTTCAGCTACCGGTACCCTGCTCCGCCTCATTATTTACAATTGTTGCTATTTACAGTATTACTATCTACAAAATTCTACTCTAAGGTTAAAACCTCTTTTGACAAAATTTTATAAAAAGAAATGGACAATTTGTTAAAAACAACTTTTCCAGAGCTCTTGGAAATTCTATATGTTAGGGTTGGATAGAGAATTTGATTTTACAATTGTTTACTTCACCCTGACTTAGTACTCTTTTAATACCCCCTCCTTTATGCTGTTCCAAGACTTTCTCTCTACCGTCTCAAGACTATTCAGTGTTGTCCCAGTACTTCTTGTTAGTGTCCCCAGACCACTGTCCCAAGACCCTTGCCCTAAGTCTGCTGTCCCAAGACTACTGTCCCAAGACTAGTGTCCCAAAACTAATGTCCCAAGACCAACGTACCAAGACTAGTGTCCCAAGACTAATGTCCCAAGACCAATGTCCCAAGACTAGTGTCCCAAGACTAATGTCCCAAGACCACTGTCCCAAGACCAATGGCCCAAGACCAATGTCCCAAGACCACTGTCCCAAGACCACTGTCCCAAGACCAATGGCCCAAGACCAATGTCCCAAGACTGCTCTGTCCCGTGACTGTCCCAAGACCGTGTTGCTCCAAGACTGTCCCCAGACTGCAATGTCCCAAGACTTCTTCGGTACTGTCCCAAGACTCGTCTCTGAGTGTCTGGATATCGGGTCTCTTCTTCTTCGTTGTAGGGACTACTGAACCACTGTACCTTTTACCACCACTCGAGCTCTAGTAAAAATTTTCCCAAAATCCCTATCTTAGTCAAAACCCAAATACTGATCCCCTGTATTTGAAACCCTAAATTCCCCGCAGGTATCTTGTGATCACCTGTTCGTTAAAATATCAACAACAAAATTTCAAAACTAAAAATTTAAACTGGAAAAATTTCAAAAACAGATGGATGAATTCTCCTGAAATTCAAGGTTGACCGATGTCAATCTTTGTCCGAAAAAAATGTCTGGTACCCGATTGCCACGCGTTTTCCTCCCCCCTGCTAGCGATCTTATGGGGTATCACAAAAACTGTCTATGTCCGTTCCCCCCTACCGATCCGACCAGGGTACCTACCTTAACCTGATTTTAATTTTGGATATCCGCTTCTTATAACCAACGCGTGTGAATATCTAATGTAACTAAATCGACGATGCCGAACAATTAGTTACTCTAACGTGTCCTCCCTGTTTACAATTTACAACCGCTAACCTCTAACTTAACCAGCCCCCCTGCTAACCTCCCCCCTTTTTAGCCCCCCTCTTAAGCCGAAAAATCCCTTAAGCGCCGGGTGCTATACCTCTCGAGAGAAAACCGTAGACCTGTTTCCAGGCCTGCTTGTGCAAAAACTTCCTCAAAACAACGGGGCTCCGCTTATCCAATTTTACACTTATCTCCTATAATGTAATGTGGATTCTAACGATACCCGCTGCCCAACTTGAGAACACTCCTGTGCGTCCTCTTGTAGTGATCCTGTGCTGGTTGTCTCTGTTCTGCACTTGACAGCAGCACCACTTTCCCACTTGGCTGGTCACCTCTTCCAGTCAAGTTTCCAGTGGGTTCAGCTCAGTACTTCTGAACCACTTTCCCACTCGGCTGGTCACCTCTTCCAGTCAAGTCTCCTAGTGGTCCGGTCCGATCCTTGTGAACCACTTTCCCACTCGACTGGTCACCTCTTCCAGTCAAGTCTCCTAGTAGTCCGGCTAGGTTGCAATCTATCTGAAAACCCTTAACAACGCCCCCCACTCGGGCACCTTATTGAAGTCACTGGTTTAAATTGCTAGATTGATCGAAACGATCGGTCTTATAAAACAGTATGGGTATACTATTTAATTAATATAAAGGTTTGATCCAAATGGTCCGGTATCAAAGTCACTGTCTTTTCGTTTTATGGTTTTTGTTCCTTTTTCTATACTTTTTTCTTGTTTTTGTTTCCCTAGTTGCCCCCCCTTTACTCGGTTAGCTAGGCCTCGTTCGGAGAGCGTACCAGGAAGTTTCTCAAGTTTTCTTAAAAAGCTATCACGGTACAACCGGAAGGTTTACACGTTCCCGCTGAACCGTACCACCGGTACTCTAGAATGGGCATGCAGCCCGGAGCTGTGTCAAGTGGGTTCGACTCCGTAGTCATGATGTCGTAAAAACACCCAGGAGCGCCATAAAAACACTATGTAACAGTCGCCTACTTCGGTCACATATGAGGCTTAAGAAAAATAGGCCCTATAACCATTGGCTCAAGAGTCAGGGACACTATCTCTTGTGTTTTTCTACCTCAAGAACGGTCGGAGCCAATTCGGTTCGCTTGCGACATGAGACTAGAACCCGTTACAGCTTAAAGACTACTACCAAAATATCCTCCCACTCTAGAAAATAAGAACGTCCCCATACTTAAGTCTCTAAATACCCAAAATACACGAACGCCGTTAGAAACAGGGTCGGAACAATCCGTTAAGTTACTTTTTATTGGACAGTGGAACTTTGATCCATTTCAGATGGATCAACCTAAAACTCGCCTTATCTCAACATAACAATCATAAAACACACTCGAGAAAATTAAATTAGGGACTCACATGTTGATGCACTCGAGTACAAGGAGTAATTAAATTGGTAAGCAACTCAAGAATTAGATAATATAACTAGATAAGTTTAATACTGATCAGTTTTGATAACAGAAGTGAATTCTGACTCTAGAATCTGAGTTTTTGTATGAACCATTGGGACACTCAAGTTGTCCACCTTTCCATTGAAGGTTCACTCTAGTTTGTTCCAAATGGTTGTTCTCTCTTCTTTTTATTCTCTCTCCTCCTATTTCGGGATAAGACAGCTCTACTCGTGTCTTGTTTTATATCTGGAAATTGCGAATAGCAATTTCCCGCTGTTCTATTCAAGCACTTTCCCGCGATTGTAAATCGGTCGTTCTGATTCTTCTCTTTTTGTGTTTTCAGTTAATGCGAGAAAACTGAGCATGACAGGCTCCATTCGAAATTTTGAAAAATAAAAACTTCACTCGAAAATCACGTATTTTCATGTCCCTCAAGGTCAAACTTCCAGATATGACCGACTGGCACATAACTTTTTTATATTGCGAAGATTAAACATCGCAATATCAATATATCACACTATGAAACAACATTAGGTAAAGATATTTAACTATCAGAAGTCGTGTTGAACAGTTATTGCTTCAATTTCCTCAATGCAATTCACGAAAATCTGTTGATTAGGAAACGAGAGTGCTTTTCAACTCATTTGTCTGATGTTTTCTAGTTGTCTCGTGAGTAAAATGAGATGCTACGAGAATGTGCACGACTATCCGGGTGCTTTTGATGATGATAATCCCATAGTGCTGAAGTTCATGCTGTTCAGAAACTGGGACTACTTTAAAAGACTTCAGTTATATTACAACTGCAGTGCATTCGAGAAGTTTGAAACGGGTAGGTTGTTCGAACATTCTTCTCTACTTAATGAGTATAAAATAGGAAATGATATCATTTATATAGTTCATGATTTTTCCAAGAAATTTTATCAATATTGTTTTCTCGCGGTTTCGCTTATCATTTCTAATTTAAGTTCTGTTCATTTTTGTTTAAAAAAGCAAACTCTACTATCAAGCAGCAATAGTGTAAAGGTCATAAAAAATGTGAATGACTTAAAGATTCCAGAAAGGGACTTCCGTTTTCTGAATTCCCAGCAGAATGATAAAGTTATCTAAAGTTGATGTTTTCTGTAAATGGGATAAATTGAAGAATAAAGTGCCTATCATAAACAATTCGTGAAATTCAATTAGTTTCAACGAGATATATTTTTTATTTGAAATAAGGAATTTGAAAAATTCTCAAAATTGTCTCCAATTTTTTCGGGTTTCTTGTTCTCTTACACATTTCCAGCTGTCTGTTCGTCATGTTTCTTATACCTGCAATACTGAAACTGTGCGCCTGAAAATCAATGATATGACATCGAACGTAGAACAGGGAAAACTACGAAGTTATTAGAAGTGAATTAAGATGTAGGTTACGTGGTTATTGTAGTACCTTTTGGTTCCGACAATTGAAAACGGGAGGATCTTTGTATTTATGTTTGTTTGTTTCTTTTTTTTTGTTTTCCACACGAAATCAGGTACCACAAATAATCATCGGAATGGTCGAATGATATATGGTATTAAAGCCCTTTCAGTCGTAACTCAAACTTTAAAAAAAAATACCAAAATTTTTCCCAGTTTCGAGAAAAACCGGTTTGATTTTGTTCTGTTTTTTTTGTCTAATCTCAAGCAAATAAAGCGGGCAAGCAGGCTTGTAATAGGCTTATAATAGTTAGTTTTAAACTTAACTTATAAAAATAACTATTGCATAGTTTTACTCAGCAAAAAAAAATGTTTTTGAAATTTCTTTTTGCGCCTCCTTTGGATTATATTTTAAGAAAAAATCAAAATACTTTCCGCAAAAAAATTGAAATTGGAATGGTTTTTTTCTAAGTTTGTTTTATGGCGAAAACTGTTGCTAACTGTAATTTATTTATTTTTACTATCAAAAACAGAAACGACCTAATTTGAAGAAAAAGAAACAACGCCCCCCACTCGGGCACCTTATTGAAGTCACTGGTTTAAATTGCTAGATTGATCGAAACTATCGGTCTTATAAAACAGTATGGGTATACTATTTAATTAATATAAAGGTTTGATCCAAATGGTCCGGTATCAAAGTCACTGTCTTTTCGTTTTATGGTTTTTGTTCCTTTTTCTATACTTTTTTCTTGTTTTTGTTTCCCTAGTTGCCCCCCCTTTACTCGGTTAGCTAGGCCTCGTTCGGAGAGCGTACCAGGAAGTTTTCTCAAGTTTTCTTAAAAAGCTATCACGGTACAACCGGAAGGTTTACACGTTCCCGCTGAACCGTACCACCGGTACTCTAGAATGGGCATGCAGCCCGGAGCTGTGTCAAGTGGGTTCGACTCCGTAGTCATGATGTCGTAAAAACACCCAGGAGCGCCATAAAAACACTATGTAACAGTCGCCTACTTCGGTCACATATGAGGCTTAAGAAAAATAGGCCCTATAACCATTGGCTCAAGAGTCAGGGACACTATCTCTTGTGTTTTTCTACCTCAAGAACGGTCGGAGCCAATTCGGTTCGCTTGCGACATGAGACTAGAACCCGTTACAGCTTAAAGACTACTACCAAAATATCCTCCCACTCTAGAAAATAAGAACGTCCCCATACTTAAGTCTCTAAATACCCAAAATACACGAACGCCGTTAGAAACAGGGTCGGAACAATCCGTTAAGTTACTTTTTATTGGACAGTGGAACTTTGATCCATTTCAGATGGATCAACCTAAAACTCGCCTTATCTCAACATAACAATCATAAAACACACTCGAGAAAATTAAATTAGGGACTCACATGTTGATGCACTCGAGTACAAGGAGTAATTAAATTGGTAAGCAACTCAAGAATTAGATAATATAACTAGATAAGTTTAATACTGATCAGTTTTGATAACAGAAGTGAATTCTGACTCTAGAATCTGAGTTTTTGTATGAACCATTGGGACACTCAAGCTGTCCACCTTTCCATTGAAGGTTCACTCTAGTTTGTTCCAAATGGTTGTTCTCTCTTCTTTTTATTCTCTCTCCTCCTATTTCGGGATAAGACAGCTCTACTCGTGTCTTGTTTTATATCTGGAAATTGCGAATAGCAATTTCCCGCTGTTCTATTCAAGCACTTTCCCGCGATTGTAAATCGGTCGTTCTGATTCTTCTCTTTTTGTGTTTTCAGTTAATGCGAGAAAACTGAGCATGACAGGCTCCATTCGAAATTTTGAAAAATAAAAACTTCACTCGAAAATCACGTATTTTCATGTCCCTCAATGTCAAACTTCCAGATATGACCGACTGGCACATAACTTTTTTATATTGCGAAGATTAAACTTCGCAATATCAATATATCACACTATGAAACAACATTAGGTAAAGATATTTAACTATCAGAAGTCGTGTTGAACAGTTATTGCTTCAATTTCCTCAATGCAATTCACGAAAATCTGTTGATTAGGAAACGAGAGTGCTTTTCAACTCATTTGTCTGATGTTTTCTAGTTGTCTCGTGAGTAAAATGAGATGCTACGAGAATGTGCACGACTATCCGGGTGCTTTTGATGATGATAATCCCATAGTGCTGAAGTTCATGCTGTTCAGAAACTGGGACTACTTTAAAAGACTTCAGTTATATTACAACTGCAGTGCATTCGAGAAGTTTGAAACGGGTAGGTTGTTCGAACATTCTTCTCTACTTAATGAGTATAAAATAGGAAATGATATCATTTATATAGTTCATGATTTTTCCAAGAAATTTTATCAATATTGTTTTCTCGCGGTTTCGCTTATCATTTCTAATTTAAGTTCTGTTCATTTTTGTTTAAAAAAGCAAACTCTACTATCAAGCAGCAATAGTGTAAAGGTCATAAAAAATGTGAATGACTTAAAGATTCCAGAAAGGGACTTCCGTTTTCTGAATTCCCAGCAGAATGATAAAGTTATCTAAAGTTGATGTTTTCTGTAAATGGGATAAATTGAAGAATAAAGTGCCTATCATAAACAATTCGTGAAATTCAATTAGTTTCAACGAGATATATTTTTTATTTGAAATAAGGAATTTGAAAAATTCTCAAAATTGTCTCCAATTTTTTCGGGTTTCTTGTTCTCTTACACATTTCCAGCTGTCTGTTCGTCATGTTTCTTATACCTGCGATACTGAAACTGTGCGCCTGAAAATCAATGATATGACATCGAACGTAGAGCAGGGAAAACTACGAAGTTATTAGAAGTGAATTAAGATGTAGGTTACGTGGTTATTGTAGTACCTTTTGGTTCCGACAATTGAAAACGGGAGGATCTTTGTATTTATGTTTGTTTGTTTCTTTTTTTTGTTTTCCACACGAAATCAGGTACCACAAATAATCATCGGAATGGTCGAATGATATATGGTATTAAAGCCCTTTCAGTCGTAACTCAAACTTTAAAAAAAAATACCAAAAATTTTCCCAGTTTCGAGAAAAACCGGTTTGATTTTGTTCTGTTTTTTTTGTCTAATCTCAGCAAATAAAGCGGGCAAGCAGGCTTGTAATAGGCTTATAATAGTTAGTTTTAAACTTAACTTATAAAAATAACTATTGCATAGTTTTACTCAGCAAAAAAAATGTTTTTGAAATTTCTTTTTGCGCCTCCTTTGGATTATATTTTAAGAAAAAATCAAAATACTTTCCGCAAAAAAATTGAAATTGGAATGTTTTTTTTTAAGTTTGTTTTATGGCGAAAACTGTTGCTAACTGTAATTTATTTATTTTTACTATCAAAAACAGAAACGACCTAATTTGAAGAAAAAGAAACTTAGTTTGTATGGTCGGAAATTTCTGTGCAACTTGCACAGCAACCGGCTATTTAGCGGACTTGGGTTTAGCGGACGACCAGTAACCTGTGTGTTTCAGCTTCCGGCATCATTCAGCCCGCTTTTAGGCATACTGAAATGGAAGAAGGGTGGACTGGTCTGAAGCACTTCCTTATCAACACCAATCTCTTCGCAATAGCCATCAGTAAGAAGAAAGACCGACTGAAGCTGGTCAGATTGAACAACAGCCGCAGCAGCAGAGAAGAGGATGCGGTGTTGGCTGATTTGTCTTTTGCATCCTCGTGCACAGGCTGTGCAACTGCCCTCATCAGGGGTTAGTCAGCGGCCTCTTTCTGTAGTATAGATCATTGATCAACTTATAATTAAATGGCATTGAACGAAGTGTAGAGTTTGTGTGATTTTTGTTTAGGATTTTTTCTGGGATACGTTCTGATCCCGTTCTAGTTTTTTTTGGTTTGACCTTTGATTTCTTTTAAAGCTCAAATTGATTGCTTCCATCTGTTAACAGATATCTTGCATCAGTGCAGCTTACAGATAAATGTTGTATAAATTTAGATCAAATCCCCCTTGGCTTGCTGCACTCCTTTGTGTACGTGTACATCATGCGCCCTCATCCTGGAGTGAATGTGACTCTAGTGTCGTTTGACAGTGACATGTCACAGTACATCCGCACAGACCTCACTGTCAGCAACCTCAGCATAGACAGAGACTTAGGACAGGGCATCAAATTCCTACAGGTGCCTATTCAAGCTATTTCGTTTTAGGCTACTGTCTTCCAATCGATTTGTTGGTTTCGCGCTCATTTTGCACGCAGTGATGATCAAGTGGTTCAGTGCGGCGCATCACTCAAATTATCGGAGGTTCCAAGGTCTCAATAATCCGTGCTCGTTGTTTTCGGATGCTTCTTTTTACTGCAGCAATTAAAAGACTAAACTAACAATTTTTTTATTTGTTTTTTTTTTGTAAATCAATCTTTTTGTTACCCTCGTGATAAGCAAGAGTATTGCTATCGGGTACCAGACTTTTTTCTCCGTAAACAACTTTATCCTCAGCATCTTCACTTCTAGAGGATCTTTCATCTGACATGCTCAGTGTCTTGAAAACTGAAATAAAAGTACTATGTTTTCGCTGTTAATTAGTTCAAGCCCGTTTGAGGTTGTACTTATCTTTTCACAAAAAAATTGCAATTTTTTCGGATTCCTGATTTTCGTCCTAGTTTCTGTCGTTTCTATTTCCGTTTTTTTAAACGCCATTTTGTTTATCTGGTAGGGTTTTTATTGGTTTAATTTTTAAAGTATGGGTTTTGTTCCTATTTAAACAGTTGCTACTACTGAATATTCAAACAGTTTCAGATTGCTATATCGACTTAGTCAATTAATTTTGCATAATTTTGGGGACAAAGTGTATCTGTTTGGGATTATGTGTTTCAGTTTGGATGGGTCGTAAAAACTTAAATTTAATGAATTTTTAATGACAACAGTTTGTTTTCGGCTCAACAGGTTTTGACCCAAAATTTTTCGCCGTTGTTGCCGCTTGATAAATGTTTACCATTTTTTTAGGGCTATCTATAAACTTCATCTGATACAAATATGAAGTTTTGTAGCTGTAATTTTTTAATTTTTGTCAAGTTGACTTTTTCAAGTAATTTTTCCAACATGATTTTTTACCCTTGCGATAAGCAATGGTTTTGCAACAGGGCACAAGACTTTTTTTCCCATAAAAACAGCTTTGTCCACAGAATTCGCACGTGTTTTACTGCAGACGTAAATGTAGTATGTTCATGTTAGGAATAGGCCTTGTATACCTGCTATGAGTTCTTTTAATAGTGTTTTTGTGCCAAAAGTTCTCGGTATTTTTTCGGGGCTTGAGTGTCAGCTTTAATTCCGTCGGCTCATTTTCCGAATGTTTTTTTTTCAACTACTTTTTATTGAATTTTTTTCTTAAAATGTTCGAGCTTTAAAAAATTTTTCGGACAAATCTAAATCTTTTCCCCAGATCCCTTGTAATAAATGTGAAAATTTTATAAATGAAAAAACATTAATGTTTTTTAATTTATTTTGTTTTCAGTTTGATAAAAACAGCTGATTGAACAATTAAAAGCATAAAAGGTTAAAACTAAAGTTAGTGTGCAAACTGAAAACAAAATAAATTTAAAAACATTAATGTTTTTCCATTTATAAAATTTTCACATTTATTACGAAGGATCTGGTCCTTCGTAATAAATGTGAAAGTTTTATAAATAAAAAATGTTAATGTTTTTTAAATTTATTTTGTTTTCAGTTTGCACACTAACTTTAGTTTTAACCTTTTATGCTTTTAATTGTTCAATCAGCTGTTTTTATCAGTTTTTTCTGGTGTAGGTAATTGAGTTAACGTGTTTTCGCAATTTTTTGTTTATTTTTGTTTGAAAATACAATTAAAATTTTGTTCTCATTGCTTTTTAGCCCATTTTGTATTGAAAAGTACCGTTCAGATCACTTTTATCTTCAGAGTATTCCGACTATTTGCAAAATTACTGTGCAGAATATTGTTCAGATCACATTTGTTGTGTTTCGAGTCTAATTTGTCTAGGCTTCTGAAAAATTGATTAATATTTTTTTGGTATTTATGTCATTTAATTACTAATTTTAAAAGTATATCAGAGTTAGTGGTTTTTGGTTCTTTCGTGAAGGCAGTTTACCAATGGTTCGATTTGGTGTGTTCGGAAGACTTCGGCGCATAGCAGGCAGGTTTTAAAAGTAAGATGGAGGTAGGCTGAGTTTGTTGCTTATATAGTTTTTAAAGTTGTTTTTCTGTAATCTGATTTTTTAATAACTTTTTATTTGACTTTTAATTTTTGCATCGCACGTGGTGCGAAGCTCTGCTTCGCCTTTGTGTTAGATTTTTTTTCATTCAGTGTTTTGACGCGCAATGTTTTTTGCATGGCAAGTGTTGCAAAGCTCCGCTTTGCCTCTGTGTACATTTTGGCAATTATTGTGGGAAGCATCATTTTGAGCATCCTAACTCAGTTTTCTATGACTAAAGTTCTAAAAAACAAAATTAAAAAATGTTTTTTTTTAAATTATTCTGTCAAATATAACCATGGTTGGAATTTTTTTGCTGCTTGCTCAGCAACCGTCCGTTCTTGCTATTATAGTCTGCGTTACTCGTAACCTTCTTATTATAAACATGTTTCTTCGATTTTTTGAAGCCAGTTTTCGATGGCGGATTTATCCCCGGATCTTGATTTTGCAAGTCGTTTTCAATGGTGGGACCACCGTGTTCGGAGATAAAATTATCAAATGGTGTTTTGCCGCCGAACTGTTAAAAAGTTTTGAGCATATATATGGCTAATCATAAATCTGTGTTCGCTCACCAGATGCCGCGAAGTGTCGAACCATGGTGACGTTTTCGTTCTTTATGGTATATACCAAATGAAATCAGATTTCGATTTTTTCAGGTGAACGGTCTAACGGTGCTACACAACTTCGTCTTCTTCGAAGTGAACTGTTTTAACCTGACAGAATCTAGGGCAGTTTCCTACTCCATGGCGCTCAAAATCAAACAGGTGGCTGCAGTGCCAAAATTAGAATTAGTTCGCGTAGTGCAAACTGAACAGTACAATTTGAATGTCGCGTACCACGCGTTTGACAGAAAACTATTCGTTCTAAAGTGCACGCATTTCAAACCTACGGAGTCGCTTTACGAAGCAGTAACGACTAGACACAATGAGTTCAAATCAGTTCATGTCTTGGAAACGCACACGAGAGAGCTGAAATATTACGCATTTTGGTTGAACTATTTGCTGTACGTAGACGAAAGTAGAAAACGGCTGCATTTTTGGTCGCTGGGTGGATCACAAGGATTGGTGAGGTTAAATGAGACGGTGGAAAACAGAGACATTCATCCACATCTGCTATCCGTTGTAAATGGAGATATTTTGAGTGTCCGAACTCAGTTGAACTATCTGTTCATACATCTTAGTCTGGGTGTGACCCAGATACTGGTGTACAGGCTAGAAGAAGTGAGTTCTAGAGACCAGAGCCAGAAGACCCTGACTGCTTACAAAGTGACTGATTCTGATTTTCCCATGAATAAACATTGCAAAGACGTGGAAGTGATCGGATGCTGTGGAAAAAATCTGAACGTCGTGTTGCATTAGAATCATAATTCAGATAAACTACTCAAGCTGGAAAAAAACTTTTTAAACTTAAAAAACTCAATAGAAAGTTAATAAATATGGAAAAACTGTAGTTGATGTTAGACATACAGATTTGGCATATAGCTCAGTCAAGACTGTGCATCATTGTAACTAAATTAATGATTGTGCCTAGCTTTAAGTGTTAATAATTGAAGTGAAGACACTTGTTTTGGTCGTTTTTTTTCAGCAAAACAATTTTCTGGCAACTCTGTGGGTAGCACAAGATTTACTGTGTAATAAAAAATAACATCTTCCGTAGAGACAAAAGTTGAGAAAAAATTAAGTTGAGTTTAAAATTTTTCAAAAGTGCACTCTACTCTATTAACAAAAATGCAAATTTGGGAAAAAACGTGAATGACTGTAGGTTCAATGGTGATTAGCAAGAGTTATCAAATCGAAGAAGACTTTTGAGGTTAACAACTAAACTAGCAAAATTGCTGAACATTTTTGACAACGTATATCAGGTCAACAGAAATATTGTGGGCATGTCTGTGTGTTAATTTCCAGTCATATTTACGCTTGCGAAGCTAGTGTTTTAGTATCAACCTTCTTTTTTTCCAATCTAAGTCGCAAAGAAAAGTGCTCCTTCTGGTGGCACTCTTTAATTGACAAGTTGCGGTAGCAGTATGATGTCATGTGCTTTAACAGTTTAGTAAAAAGTTAGATAACACAGTTGATGCATTTTAAATTCATCAACTGAACCGAAAAAATTTTAATCGTTCCAAACAGCAGTACAAATGATTAAAAGCTCGATTTCATTAATTTCACAACTTAATATATCTCGCACTTTTTGTTGAATTGCATAATTTATACATAACCTTTTGCTTTCCATTATATTACATGCAAAATTGTATTTGGTACCCGTTTGCGCTATCGAATTGGCCATTTATTAGCATATATAGCTTGGGTTTTATGTCTAGTTTTTGGGGAGTTTAAGCATCCGTGGCTTAGTGCGTGAGATTCAAAGTTGCAAGGTCGCAGATTCGAATCTTACACGTAGCCGAGTTTTTGCTAACTCGATGCTTATTTTTACTTTCTCTTGTTTCACTTTATAGAGCTGCTTTTTGGCCGTCTTCTCGCGAGTATTTGCGAAGCGCAGCTTCGCCTCTGTAGAATTTTTTGTTTAATTTAGTTTTAAATGAAATCTGATTTTTTCCGACCATTGAAAATGGGGAGAAAATTATCTTCGGCTGTGTTCTAGCTTTATGTTTTCCATGCAAAATCAGGCATCACAAATAATGTGCCGAGTGATGTATCATATAGAGATCTTTCTGTCGTGATTCGAGCGAAACGAAAATTTCGGAAACTTCAGTCAGCGTCGTGTTGGCAATGAAATGTTGCAAGGTCGCAGATTCGAATCTTACAAGTAGCCGAGTTTTTGCTAATTCGAGGCTTATTTCTACTTTCTCTTATTTCACTTGATAGAGCTGTGCTTTTTGGCCGTTTTCTCCCGAGTGTTTGCGAAGTGCAGCTTCGCCTCTGTAGAATTTTTGTTCAATTTAGTTTTGAATGAAATCGGATTTTTTCCGACCATTGAAAATGGGGAGAAACATCCCTCTAGTTTGAAAAAAAAACTTTTTATTTAAATTTCAAATGTCAACCATTTTTGTTTCTCACTTCAAACTGTTTGATTGGCTTGAACGTTTTCCGCATATCTGGTGTTTGCTTAATTGCCTCCTATTGCGGCGTTTGATGGCCATGATTTTTTAAATTCGTGTGTGGCTACTTCGTCTACCCAAGTTTACTGCTGACCATTTTATTCGTTGACGCAAAATGGAAAATAATTGTTTCTGGTGACTTCTTTTGCAATTTATTGGCAGACAGTTTTGATAAGCTTTTCTATTTGTTGGCTTTGATGTAGCTTTTCTGCCCGCCAACTTTTCATGCTATCTCGACTTGTTTTCAATTGGGAGAGTAAGTGACTTGTAATCGGGAACTAGATTTTTTTCCAGTAAAAAGATACGGCGGCGTAGCTAAGCTTGGCAGCATCTGCATTACATCATGATTTAAAATACAATAATTACGTTAGAGGACTATACGACTTTTTTTAATTTAACTAATTTGCAAATTTTTTCTAACCTAAGTTGCAAAGTAACCTAAGTCGTAAAATTTGGCAACTTTACAATTTTTTGATAGCATGTGCTTTAAACAACCGAATAGTACAAAGTTAACTCAGTTGATGCATTTTTACATGAGCAAAATTTGTGTGATAGTGTGAACTCTCTTTTTTTTCCAACATAAGTCGGAAATAGTGTTGCGACGCAAATATTGTTGCGACAAAATTCATTTTGAAAGTATTCGTTTTGATCAATAACCAGCTATTAAGTGCAGCTAATGCTAAGGATATTAACACAGACTAATACATTACAAATAGCACTTACGCTTCTAGCTATCATAGATCTGTAACGTAGAGGCAAGGAAGGAGACCCGCAACAAAATAAGAGGGTTCGAACCTAGTCAGGGTGAGATGTTTTAAATGAACTTTTTCGTATACTAGTTAGAATGCTTCCGCTCTATAAATTGAGGCATGTTAGTTGGTACATTTTTTTTCATACTGAGTGGTTCTGCTTATGCGTCATAATTGGCTGGCGTCACTTAGCAATTATGTAGACTCATAATTGCCGTGCGTCACTTAAGAAATTTTGTAGACTCAAAGGTTAACTCATTCGTTTGTTCCCCGTGAATGCCAAGTGCAACTTCGCATCAGTGATAATTCATCAAATGAACCGAAAAAAGCTATTTGTTCCAGTTAACAACAATAGTAATAACTCGATTTCAGAAATTTTCGAATTCAATATATCTCGCAATGTTTTCAAATGCAAAATTTATGCATGATATGGCTTTATGCTTTCAATTTTTTTCAAATGCAAAGTTATTGTGATGCCTTCTGTTTGTTATATTCCTAATTATTATTTGCAAAATTGTGTCTATTTGTACCTGGTAACACGTAAGCTGCATCGCTTTGACAATTTATTAGCGGATTTAGCTGCTTTATTTGTAAGTAGAGTTTGCCGATTGCCAAGCCTGTTGGGCCGAGAGGCCTTGGCTTGAGACTCCAAATCTCGAGATCACAAGTCTGGCCTGTTTTTTTTTTGCCAAATTTGCCTGCGGCCCGGAAAATTTGGTAAAAATATGGTTTTTATAGTGATTTGGGAAAGCTCATAAAATCAATTTGGTCGACCAACAAAAAAATTGCCAAAACTTTTGATTTTTTTTTTGAAAATTGGCCCCTCGAAAAAATCCTAGATCCCTCATTGCTACCAATTTTAAGAATTCAAACTTTTTGAAACTTTACGAATTGTCTCGAATTGTTTTTTGAAACTTTACGAATTGTCCCGAAAACTACTTTCTCAAGTCAGAGATTTTAGGTTTAATCGAAAGAACTGGCCAAGGGAAGTTCACCTGTATAATTGGATACCCCTAACTTTTTTGAGAAAAAAAGTTTAGGTCTTTGGGATTGTGAAGTTGAACTTTTGACCGTTTTTTTTTGGAAACGCTGACCATTTAATGGAAAATTTTGACCCCTTTTTTTCGAAAAATACCCTGCAACTTATTAAAATAATGGTTCAATCCATAAAAGCTGGTTGTGGGCCGATACCTTTTTTTCGTAGAAAAAACTATAACACTCGAAATTGATTTTTTTGTGAACGTTTTTTTTTGTTATCTTTGATGTTCTTAAAAGCTACTCTACTGATTCTGAGATTAAAAGCTCAATCGAATAAACCGGTTGCAAAATTTTTCTTGCAGAAGCGTCGCTCCTCGATATCCATTAGAAAAGATGCTATGTTCTTGGAAACATCCACATTTCGAAGTTTTCGGTGTTTTTCAAATTTTTCCTTCTTCATAAACTACCCTGACAAATATGTGATTTAAAGTTCGATCGAAAATAGAGGCCAAGAAAGTCTTCCCAGTATAAAAGGATTCGCAGTCCTGAGTTCAATCAAAAGAAAAGGTTGCGGGAAAAGTCACTTACCCCGCCGAATTTCAATTTGAGTTCATTTGTAAGAACTGATGATAGGTATCTCTCATACAGAATTGTTTGAGCACTTTTTAGTACAGAAATAACTACGGTTTTGGAATCTTGAAAATTCGAAAAGTATGCTTATCATCTTTTACGAGTAAAACGTATTTTAAAAAATAGCACTCATGTACTTCTTGGCCGAGCCAGGCTCACATTTTTTCGGCTTAGTCAACTTCTACTGCATAGTTTCACAGGCAAATGTTTAAATGCTTAGACCGGTTTCAGGAAAGATGGATTTTTTTACTACAGTTTCGTTTTCGGTCTGAGGGACAGCTTATGTTTTTTTTTCCTTAGTTAACACTCGTTCATTAATTCTCAATGGTTTTTAAGGCGGTTCCCGAACATCATCCGAGCCAAAGACATGAAGTTTTAGTTGTAGGTATAGTTTTTTTGAGTAGTTTTGTATCTTAATATTTCAAAAAATTGACTGCTTGCTTTTATTTTCTATCAATTTTTTGTAATGCAATATTTTCATTGTATCGCAAGTGTTGCAAAACTCCGCCGCTTCGCCTGTGTTTAAAATGTTTCTTTTAATTGTAATAGTTTTGCGAGTCTGTTGTGTATGCTCATAATGCAGAAGAAGCACTGAGATGAAGGCAAAGGTTTTTTGCTAACAATCGAGAAGTAAAATATCTCGAGACTGAGTAACGTTTCAAAGACATCGCTTATCGTGTCTATAAATTATAAGTTTGGAGTCCAAGTCTAGGTAAATCTTGCTTTTGAAAACTCATCAAGTCAATTTGAAACAGTCGAAGTCGATGGGACTTTGCTCAAAGAGTGAAGTTATTGACTCATGATTGCTGGTACGTCTGGTGTTGGAATCCGGGAGTTTGATTTTCACCAAATGATAGTCGTTAGGTAAGGGAACAATATTTTTTGATTTGGCGCGTGGTTTTTAAGGATTTTTTTCCAATTACGATCTTCTACTCTTTCCAGTTGATGAAAAATTAAGTGAAGCAGTTTTTGAAGGGCTAGCAGAAGTTCGTGATTGGTTGTACAGGCGGTTTTTGAAGTTTGGCTTTTGTTGTACATTTGTGACAACAATGCCACATGTGAAACTAGTGACAAACTTCTGCCAGCACTTCAAATACTGCTTATTTAATACTTCAACAGCTGGAAAATTTAAACTGTTTCCCACAGGCTAAGTT